CTTTCTATAAAATGTGCGTCTAAATTTCATCCGAGGAGAACATGAGCAAGAATAGCACCCACCACAAAACAACAAGACAAAAGCAAAAACAGGGGACTAGACTGATCAGATATCAAAACAATGTTATCACTCTAGGAAACCAAACAGTATGGTTTTGTTATAAGAACAGAGAGATGGATCACTTTAACAGACATGTAAATCCAGAAGTGTACCACCTATGAATGGGAATGTAGCATATGGCAAAAGTGGTATTTCAAGTTAGTGGTGTTTTTAAACTGACTGAATCACTAATGAGGAGTTACTTAGCAAATGGTATTGGACTATTAGCTATCCATTTGGGAAAAAAAGAAATGGATCCCGATCTCCCATCAAGTATGAAAATACGTTCTACTTGAATTTGTTGGGAGCCAATAGTCTAGTGGCTCATTCTCCAACATAGCCTACTGCTTTGCCAAGAATGCAAGACCCAGGCTATTCCCCAGCACCGTGTTTGCAGTGAGCATCCTTGAGGGATGAAATGGCATCTGTCTCTGCTACAAAATGGCTGGTTCCTTGAGCTAAGTGCTCTTCTGTCTTGGAAAATGGTGCTCTGCATCACTCCTGTGGGTCTTGGGGGCAAGGGAAACAGAAACAAACATGCTGAATCTCATGCTGCCCCCTGTGCTATGAGAAATAGAGTCCTTTGTCTCTGACCCAGGAGTCTCGTGTCCTCTGCTAGAATCCATGAAAATGTAACAGGGTAGCTAATTACCTAAAAGGTAGAGTAAAATCAAATCCCAAGACTTGACAGGATTCAAAACAAAAATGGAAAGAAGTAAAACTATAGAAGCATCAGAGGAAAATAGGGGGTATTGGGTGCCTGAGTGGCTCAGCTGGTTAAGCATCTACCTCTTTTGGCTCAGGTCATGATCCCAGGCTCCTGGGATCGAGCCCCACATCGGGCTCCCTGCTCAGCAGGAAGCCTGTTTCTTCCTCTCCCACTCCCCCTGCTTGTGTTCCCTCTCTTGCTGTGTCTCTCTCTGTCAAATAAATAAATAAAATCTTTAAAAAACAGAAAAGAAAGAAAATAGGAGGTATTATTTTTATATCCTGGAGCTGGAAAAAAAAAAAAAACACTTCTGAGAAAGACACAAAATCCTGAAATTATAATTTTTTAAAAAGGTGTTATAGATAAAAATAAAAGACAAGTGCACCTTGATAGAAAATATTTTTAACACATATTAAGATCATAATATGAGAGAATACCTCCCAAAACTCAGTAAGAGCCTAATAAAAATGGGTAAAGCACATAAATAGGCAGGCAATTCACAGAAAAAATATGTGGCCAATAAATATGTAAAATGATCCTTACCTCACTATTAATAATAGAAATGCAAAGTCAAATGAGAATGAGATAATTTTTCACCCATGAGACTAGAAAATTTAAAGACCGAATCTCCAGCATTAGTGAGGATGTGGCAAAACACTCTTGGTAAGACTACAAATTGGGGCAGCTCTTTTGGAGAGCCATTTGATTATATCTATAAAAATTACATTTAAACGTTTTTTGAGCTATGGAATTTTTTTTTTTTTTTTTTTTTTTGCAAGCAAAACCAGTTATTGAATTCTAGCATATAAAATATAGAGCATAGCTGTTTGGGTGAAGTAGAGGTGGGGGCCCTGTCATGCTCCGTCTGACCTCCCCTCATGCTGCGTCCCTCCCCACGTCCCACGACACAACCAAGTCAGAACTTCACGGACGTCAGGCCCCAGAACCACTGGGCCAGGGCGGAGTGTGAAATCGGTTACCTTTATTGGTCTTTGGACTGAAATGAAAGCACGCCACAGGATTTTGCTGTGGTGTGGGACCTCTTAGTAAAGGGAACCAGTCCCAGATAATCAAATCTTTCCCGAGTACTGAGAATATTATTCCCAGATTTATCTCATCACTATGTTTGGAACAAGCAGAGCTGACACTGAGTATGAGAAACTGTTGGAAACAAAGAAAATCCCATCATCGCAAGGTTTAAAAAAGCAGCTGGTGAGCCTGGTGCTTAATCAAGAAAAATAAATAAATAAAGCTGACCAGGCAAGAAACACCCGGATCAGGAATAATTGAACAAGTTACACAAAGAGCAAGATTGAAGAAGTCTTTGCAAATCGCTTAGGTGGGAACTGAGAGAATAAACCCTTGAAGCATTTTATCTGCAATTTGTACAGATAATTCGGAATTTATTTGTTTAAAAAAACCGACTTCAAGTGGATCAAACAAAAGCTCGCTCGCCTGGATGCTAGGATTATCTGAAGACTCGTGATTCCAGAATCCTCTGAAGCCCTTCCCCAACTGCATTCCCTCCTTACAGTTTCGTGAGGAGCCCCTGCTGTAGCCACATCATCCTGTTTTTACAAAGCCTACCTTTGAGCCTCCTGCTAGGCTTTCCATCATTAAATTAGGCCCCAGACGATAGACCACAGAGGAAATGGCTCGGGGTCATAGCCGGATGCTGAGTCAGGCAGGAGAAGCCCGTCAGCTCCCTCCCTGGGGTATTTCCTAGAACAGGTTTTAGTTCAGCACTAACGTGTACGTCGCTTTTCTCACCTGTGAAGAAAATTGGGAAATTCGGAGATGTGGGAGTTGAAGGAATAGCTGTCGCACGTTCTGACTACCTCGGTGCTGACTTTTTCCTCTGAGTGACTCAAGGCTACGGCCTCCAGAAAGAAATGAAGAGACACGCCAACCACACCACTTCACCCCTTACCGACGCACAACACGTAATGGCCGATGCCCTTCCACAGCGTGGTGCCCTGGCTCCCCGCCGTCCCCTGAAGGAGGGCACTCGGGAACAGTCTCCCTGGACTCCCCAGGGCTTGTGAAGGTTGCAAAGTCAATACGTTCATGGGTTTTGCCCTTTAGAAGCTTATAACCTGGCCTATGAACACTCACTCCAGTTGAGTATCAAAAGAAGCTGGTGTCAACGGTATGATACAGAAATCCCGAAGAAAGTGCAAGCAGAGGGGAGACCAGTGAGGGGAGCCTACATGGAACTGCTTTTTGAGCTCCCTGGTTCTGTATGATGCTCAGCCTTGGCCACACACTGAAATCATCGGGGGGTGGGGGGCGTGAGTAATCCTCATGCTTGCCCTCACCAACAGGGATTCTGACGTCACTGGTCTGGACTGGGGTAGGGCCTGGGCACCAGGATGTTTAAAAGCCCCCCAGGAGGCTTTAATGTGTACCCATCGAGGTAATCCTGACAGAGGAGCAGAATCTAGAACACCCGGCCCCTGGTGCTAAGTACCCAAGAAGTCTGAAACGGCCAGCGATCCTGGCAATGAGAACACCATCTCATGAGAGCAGCTTCATGGGAGGAGCAGGAGCAGAAGGCAAACTGGCAGCGGGGTGGTGGGGGCTGCTGAGCTCTGCGTCATTGGTGACAGAAATTTCCAGAGCTTGTTCATGAATGCAAGAGAAGACCGGGTGATAGAGGGTGGAGGGTGAAAAGGCCAGGAGAGGATTTAACTTTGTTTTTGTTCTTTAAGAAGAGAAACTTGGAAATATTATTCATCCATGAGAAGAAGGAAATCTGGGGCGCCTGGGTGGCTCAGTCGTTAAGCGTCTGCCTTCGGCTCAGGTCGTGATCCCAGGGTCCTGGGATCGAGCCCCACGTCAGGCTCCCTGCTCAGCGGGAAGCCTGCTTCTCCCTCTCCCACTCCCCCTGCTTGTGTTCCCTCTCTCGCTGTGTCTCTCTCTGTCAAATAAATAAATAAAATCTTAAAAAAAAAAAAAAAAAGGAAATCCTACCATTTTTGACAACATGGATGGACTTTGAGGGCATTATGCTAAGTGAAGTCAGTCAGAGGAAGGCAAATACCATATGATCTTATATATATAGAATCTAAAAAAAACAAAATGAAAAAACCAAGCTCATAGATACAGAGAACAGACTGGTGGGTGCTGAGGTGGGGGTGGGGACATACGAAATGGGTGAAGGTGGGAAAAAGGCACCAACCTCGTCATAGATAAATAAGTCATGGGTTGTAATGTACGGCGTCGTGACTCTAGTTAATGATACTGTATCTCATACTTGAAAGTTGCTAAGAGAGTAAATCTTAAAAGTTCCCACCACAAGATAAAAGGTTTGTAACATAATAAAAATACATGTGGTGATGCACATTAACTAGACTTATGGCGGTGATCATTTTGCAATATATACAAATATTGAATCATTATGAAACTAATACAAAGTTGTATGTCAATTATAGCTCAACTGTTTAAAAAAGGAGAGAAACTTGATCTATTTACATACAGGGCAGGAAGATCTGGTAGAAAGAGAGCTTGAAAAAACAGCCAAAGGGACATCCAATTAATCAAAGCCCCACAGAGACAGGGCAGGGTAGTCTGGACTAGAGCACAGACGTGATGCTTTTCTTTTGTGTGGAAAAACAGGGAAAGGGAACGAAACTTTATTTTTTGTTAAGATTTATTTATTTGAGAGAGAGAGCAAGAGCGCAAGCACAAGCATGGGGGGTGGGAGGCAGAGGGAGAGGGAGAGAGAATCTCCAGCAGATTCCACCCTGAGCGTGGAGCCCGACTCGGGGCTTGATCTCATGACCCTGAGATCAAACCTGAACCGAAAGCAAGAGTCGGACACTCAACTGACTGAGCCACCCAGGCGCCCTGGGAACAGACCTCTATTAAGCATTAATTTTGCTAGAGACCAGGCTAGGTAATTCCTATAAATGATTTCATTTCATCTTTCCAGCAAAGCCACCAGGACCCCTGTAACACAGAAGGTCCTGTACCCAGGAGCCCGGGGATTTAGCTACTCTGTATTAGTGCCATTTCCAAGCGTAGAACTCCCAAAGGTCACGGTGATCCAAAAGCCTCCTTATGAGCCCAACATGATGTATTATGGCAAGAACTATCTACATAAGCAGTCCAACTTTAAAATAAAGAAAATGACAAAAATCTGTCAAAAATATAAAATCCTGGTGCCTGTACCAACTGTTTCTTCACATACCTGAGAGCCATGTTGTGGGCTGCCGTTCCCAGAGCTCTCCTCCCCAGGATGCACAAGGCAAAGGACAGGGTCACTAAAGGAGAGTCCTCATCGCTGTCCAGGTTCTTGGAGGGCTGAAAGAGCAAGGAGGTTAATTCAACTTTCCCAAGGGTTCCATCATGCCCTGACACAGAATCACATCCCAAGGGGCTTTGCAAGTCAGCCATTGTGGTCACTTGGTCCAGTAGGATGCCCCAGGGACAGAGGACTCTCTGATTCCTGAAACACTTTCTCTCGTGGTTGGACATGGAAAAAAATTTGAAATGAGGAAGCTACTTTAGGGGAGAAAAGAGGCTACCATGTGCCTTGCTGACCCAATTCTCTGGAATTTTGAATATGGCACTTCATAGGTGAGGATGGGGGGAGCTTACAAATGAACGCCCACCTTACCACAGGGCAGGGGCGTGACTAGCAGGGAGGGAAGGAGTACAGGAATCATGGGCAGGTGAGGGTTTTCTGTTTTCCCTAGAACGAGGAGCCCTGAATTGACCATAAGTCCACAATCAACAGCCAAATTAAAGAGGTCATCCAAAGTCAGCTTAAAAAGGGGGTGGGGAAAATGCAGAAGAAAGAGTCAAAATAGCTTTTACAAGAGAAATGAAATGATTCCATGAATGAAATGAGGAGAGAAGAGCACTATCCCAGGGATAGCTAGGGATACCAACAGATTCTTTGAATACCCCAACCACCGGAAGAAGCCGCGCAGGGGTTAAGAAATCAGCACACATTCTCCTTGCTGCATCTGGAGAAAGCAGATGCTGTCACCCGCTCCTTCGACAACCTGTTTTCAATCACTCACGAAAAGGTCAAGGACCTGGATTAGGGTCGTAATTTGGTTTGTCCCCACAAGTCATCGGGTGACATACTTCACTACTGAGGAGCTTGTTTTCAACTTGAATCTACTGTCTCCATCAACGGAATCCTGATCCAGCTTTTCGAACCCCAGGAAGCAAAGTCAACCAACTGCCTCCCTCTGCTTCCCCTCCCTCTCTCCTCCCCTTGCTCCTCCTCCTTGCCAACCCTCCTCCTCTTCTTTTGAGAAGCTGTCATTGTCCTTGGTTTCATTTCCAAGAGGCTGCATTCATCTCCAGAAGTGTCCCAGCACGGGAGCAATAATGCACAAGAGACACAACCGTGGGAGTGGGTGGGACCATCTTGATTGCTGAACAGATTTGTTGCCTGTCCACGATTCAATACGTCCAGTAACTCCTCCGCATTTCGGCACAGATATCCTTTGTACGGAAATCTCAAAAAGCAGCTCTACACAAAGAAGTTTCCAGAGTTTGAAAGCCATGCCAGAGGCTTAAAACCACACTAAGCCTGAGCACAGTATAGAGGGAAATATACCTTCAAGACTCCTCCACTGGAGACAAGGTATATGACTTCTTCCTTTAAAATTTTGCTTACGTGTTAAATAAACATTTATCCAAATACCAATGTTCTCTCTCCACTATGTTATTGTCATCTACCATACAGTATTACAAGAGATGGACTTTATAAAATGCTCCTTGTGTTTTATATTTAACCCAACGCCTCCAGCCCCCACCTCCCTGACCTACCTCTTGTCTCTTCCGTGCACAGTACTGAATCCATTCTAGATAAACATTACAGTAGCTGGCACGGGTTATCCCCTGGAGACACGGGACGTAGTCATCATCAACGTTAATGTTGAACATGGCAAGGTCACGCTCGATATAATGCCACTTGGCAAAGGGCTGCAGAGACTTCAGAAGGGATTCGTTTTTGATCCAGGAGAGAAGTTTGGGGGACGTTACCATATAGTATATTATACTCTGCAGAGAGAAAGCAAGATTTTGAGCCCTTACAGCCATTCTAAAGACAGAACGACTTTTTATTATTATATCTCATAAAGTCAATCAATGTCAGAGATTGACATGTGGTGTCATTGTATTTCCTGCTAGATTTTTTTTAAGATTTTTTATTCATTTATTTGAGAGAGAGAGAGAGAGAGAGAGAGAGAGAGAGAGCATGAGTGGGGTGAGGAGCAGAGGGAGAAGCAGACTCCCTGCTGAGCAGGGAGCCAGACTTGGGGCTCAATCCCAGGACCCTGGGGCAGACACTTAACCAACTGAGCCACCCAGGTGCCCCTTTCCTGCTAGATTTAATGCATAGGAACTCACTTGGGACATTCTAAAATGTCCTCTCTTATGGGTCACCATAGGGATAAGGAAAGTGAGAATAACAGAACGTTAACAGAATGTACCAGGACGGAAGTTTCGTGGTGAAGAAGAGTGACAGCCAGCCCAATCCTTTCTGAGAGACACACAAAAGCACCCTTGGGTTACTGCAGGCTTCCATGGATGCCAAGCATGGCTGATCCAGCCGAAAGAAACGGGGGCAGACCCTCTTCCAGGAGCCCAGCCCAGGAGTGTTTAATGAACGAAAACACCAAAGTTCTTATGGAAAGTACTTATGATGGAGAATTGTCAAAACACACATGCGTACGTAATCCCGGGCGCCCAGACAGTGGACATCTGTGATGCCTCCCCAAATAACCCGTGTTTTCCCCTCCATCAGACACGCCACTTAGGAATCCCAGTTGGTGAAAATGCCACCCTCGGGCCTTCTCGTTCTGAGTCACAGCTTTATTGAAAGCCATCCTGTAGTTGGCGAATGAATTCCTCCTCCAGAAAGGCTAGCTCCCAGCCCGGAGAGGTCAAAATACAGCAGAGAAGGTGAAAATCCAGCTCCGATACAGGCACATCAGCAGCAGATGGGAGAGTATACCTCCCCTGCAACCTTCACTACACTTTATTACCACGGGCAAATGGACGTGGTGCTCAGCGCCACTGAGGCTGGGCCCCTCCCCTCCCGCCCTGGAAGCCTGGCTTGCATCTCACCTGGGAATCACAAGAAACAAGGAGCGGTAGTATTTGGTGCGAGGAGGCAGTGATGCACGCTCTCATGACCCCAAACCCTTAATCGACGTCGTTCTCTGATCACAGACACACGTTCCTCCCGAGGAAGAAGACAGAACAGGAATGCACGTGGCCTGGGCCTGGCCAGGGCTTAGGGGGCTGGCACCTGTGACTTGAGTGGGCAAAGACACTTTTCCAGGCAGCCTCCTGCCCTCTCTCTGGCTCTTCCCTCCCTTCGGCTGGGACATGAAATCTGGAGCGCCGAGGTCGGAGGTTGCTGAGGAGTGTCTGATCTCAGGGTGTCTGAGGAGTTTGAGCAGGTGGTCCCCGGATTGGGGCCAAACAAGGGGAAAGGCCTGACTCAGCCATTCTCCACTGTTTGGACCACCAGCCGCCTGGACTTTGGGTAAGGCTAATCTGGGGCTCATGGCGTGTGGCCTTCCTTCTTTGGGGCATATTCCCTATTAGGCTTCATAGCCCACCTGACCCCAAAGTGGGGGAGCAGGGGAGACCCCAAATGACATCCACGGTTCGTGCACTATCGCATTTCTGCAGCACTGGGCCCAGGACAACCTTGCTGGCCTGGAGAAGTCCCTTCAGGGTAAGGAGGGAGAGGCCATAGGAAGCTGAGTGGAGGGTAGGAAGGACAGGTAGGAAGGAGCAAAGCCCACTTCTCTTCATTATTTTGAGGTTTAAAATGGGCGAGTGCACATGAAGAACTCAGCAGGAGGCCGGGCATCTCTGCCTTACCTACCCGGGGGGCTTGAGGCTCAGGGACAGAGCAGTAGCTGCTCGGGTGAGGTCTGGAGCAGGGGTGAGGCCACAGATGACATTAGGGGCCAGGAGAGACAGCTGAGTCTAATGTTCAGAAATGTCATTCTGACTCTGGAGGGTTTTCCATTGTCTACTTGCTGGCAGGATAATTTAAAGCTTCTAGGAGGTAGGCAGGGTAAGCAGTTGACCCAGAGTTACAAGCAGAAGGGGATCCGTGACCGTGGCCAAAGGCACGGCGTCTCTGCTGACAACTACAAAGGCCACAAAGAAATTCAAAGAAATTGGGTCTGTGTGAACATCTGGCTCTAGCAAACATCTGGTCTAGTTTTTCCCAATATGTCCTAATCCCATGAACCAGATAGGAACAACAAACAAAACTCGAAGGACGTTTACCTTTTCATTCATTTCAAGGGGGGGGGAATGAAAATAACCCCCTCGACCGATGAAGTCAGAATAGTTAACAAGGACTTTGAATCCCAGAGGCTATAACTTCCTCCCCTAGGTCTGGCAAAATCTTGCAGTGTCGACTTCTCAGCACACCCCCAGCTGGGCTCCCCGCCCCCCGCCCCCGAGTGCGCAAGGGGAATCTGTTCCTCTTGCCCAGAGAACACAGAACACACCCAATCCTTGCAAACCATGCCCCGTTTCCACTTGATTTAGGCAGAAATTCTTTCAGGGAGACAGAGTCAATGAGCAGTGTGCAATCCTTCAGAATCTGTCAGGATGAAATGGGTACAACACTAAGTAAAACTGAGAAATAAGGCTGGGGAAAAAGAATCGATGACATAGAACCTGATCCATGTTGAAAGCAAGACCTCTTCTGAATTAATTCACCATATCTGGCTCCTCCAGCAGGGATTCTCCTGGTTTCTCATTTTAATTGTAGATCAGCATATTCTATCAGACAGCGCATTCCAGGAGAGGGGCCCTGGCACGCAGTCCCCCACATGCCCAGGTTTGACGCTCCCCATTCTGCAAGGCAAGCGATAAGCCCCTCTCCTTTCTGAAAGGCTTGGACAGGAACAATGGCAGTGGGAAAACCCGGCCCTTGCTGAAAGCTGATTTCTTGACTGCTAAGCCGGTTTTGAACACTAATAAATGGAGGGAAGGAGGAGGCGGCACCAGGGAAAACCTCCAGTCATCAGGAAGGAAATGATTTCAAATATATTCATAGAGGGTGGCGGAACTGACCCAGTTTATTAGGAGATTAAAAAAAATCCTTTTGTGTAATGGAATTATTCCAAGCTTTTCTTCCTTTTTGATTTGCCGGCCCAATAAAAATAATATTAATGATAAAAAGAATGAAACCAAGTTCTTGAAACTTGAAGCAATCCAGCACTACAAAGGTGATTTTGTTCACCACGTAACCAAAGCCAAAGAAGAAAACGCTCGTTAGTTTTTTACCCTAAAAGACTGCTTCTCCTGTTCTAACAACCACTCGGCACACCTGACATTTTCTTTAACTAACTCCGCGGGGGAATGAGCACAAGTTCTGAGCTACCCCTCACCAAAGGGTGGGCAAGCACTGAGTGCTGTATTTAGAGAAAGCCTCGTATGAACAGCCCCGTCGGTGTTGATGTGAATTAACCAGGAGGCGCCGTGAGACCCCATCAGCCCCCACATCTCAGGCCTTCCTGAGCACTGATTTGGAATTTAAGAGAAATCTGTTTCTATTGAGCACAAATACGTCTGTAGTCCTTCCCAAGCCTCATTGTATATTAAATCACTTAGGAAACTAATTCAAAAATACAGGTGCTAGGGCCCCTCCCCAGGCCCGTGGAATCGGAATTTCTGGGTAGGACGTGCAAATCCATAATTAGCTGGCTTATTCAGGGAGTGTGATGCCACGGGGCTGCCCCCAGCTCGTGAGAAGCCCCCCACCAGGTAGCGAACCATTGCACTGTGCACCTCTCCTACCCCACCTGAAACCCTCATGTTGGCATAGCCCCCTTTCTTGGAAAACAGAGTTAAAGGCATTGTTCTCCCACAAACTAAATATTACCTGCCAGGTTCCGGGGGCCAGCGGGGGGAGCTCCTTCAGCCTCTGCCATTTGCACATTATCCTGGACTTGTTTATCAGATTGCAAATTGCCATTTTAGAAAACATACAGGGAATTGGGAGGCATGTTTCTTGGAGTTAGGAGAGGAGGAAAGTGAATATTGATTCACTTACTAGTTCAAGGGAGGGAAGGGTTAAAAAGCAGGTCCCAGGTGGTGCCCCCGAGGCCTCTAGAAAAGCCCCAGAAAAGGTATCTCATCCTTTCTCCCATCTCTCTCACCCATAGTGACTTGCTGTGGCTCCATCATGTGAGCTGGGTCCGCCCACCTGTCTGGCTCATGGAAAGGCTGTTGATGGGGAGCTCCCGGTTCACAGAGATGTGGCTCAGTGTTGCATTCGCAACACGAATGCCTACAGCCGGTCGCGCAGACTCTTGCCAACATCTGAATCTCATCCACCCAGATTGGTATGGCCTGGACCCAGGATCCACGTTACCTTCGTCCATTCCATCCAAAAAATGCACCGGACACTGCCCTATGCAAGTCATCACACTGAACTCTGGGGACCCAGAGAGGAGTCAGGTGTGTACGGCTCCTGTGCTTAGGGAGTTGCTGGAAAGTGAAGTAGAACAGATTTCAGAGCAAGGTGGGGTGAATATCGGCACGGGCCCTAGGGTAGCTTGTGTGCACGTGGAATGAGGAGAGAGGAGCTGGAGGAGGATGCCTGGCAGGGTTGGGGGTGGGGAGCACAGGGGAATGTTTGTGCAAAGAGGGGGGGATGGGGGCAGGGTGGAAACTCTACCGGAAGCAACAGTGAGGGCTCCAGACGGTTTGTACCTGGGTTCCAGGCTGCCCAGAATGCACGTTCCCTACCCCCTCCCAGCTGGCACGGACAGGACGGGCCTCTGGCCCCCGGGATATAACAGGGACATACTGTGGCAGTGTCCAGGAGCCCTTCTAGGAGACCACAGGTGCACGCCCTTGCTCTTCATTTCCTCTGTCCTCTCCTCCAACCATTTAAGCTCCCACCTTGGAACACGAAGGTTCCAAAATGGTGGACCTGGCGGCTGGAAGGAACCTGGGTGCCTAGGACTTCCTGCAACGGAGCTATCACCCCATTCTTCATTTATGTGTGAGAGAAACATACTTCTCACAGGAGTGTACCACCGTTCTTTCTGGACCCACTGCCAAATCTACTACCAGTTGATACACTGAGCTTCCTAGGATTGACTCTGTAGGAAAAACTTCTTGCAGCCTAGTTTACAAGGTGGAGGGAGCAAACTGTGAAGTTAGGAGGCAGGAGCTCACCACTCCCTGATTTGCTTTCCAAATCTTCCCCAGTGTATGTAAGGCTGGGCAAAACACCTACAGTTTTGTGTGAGGTATGGATGGAAATTTCTCCATCCCTTCAGGATGCATGAAGGTGGTGAGTCCAGCCACTAAATCTGTTTTAAATAGTCAGCACAGGAAAGCATTTCATGAACATTTCTCGTTGCAGCTGCATTGGGATGTGATAATTAAGAGTTATTTAACCTTCTGACTTTTCACAATCTGTCTTCTATTTCCTGTAAACTTTAGCAGTATTGGTGCACACGTGGGGCTCTCCTAAGTAGCTATTCTGAATTTCTAAACGTCTTCCTTTTCAGTTGGTGGGAATTCCTGAAGCTTCAGGCACCCGTGTTATCTTTCTGTTTTGTATTTCCTCATTTCTGCTGGACCACCTCTCTCAGCCTCAGCTGGCAGGAAGTCTGAGATCTCAGACGGATGAGTGTCCTCCTTGTAAATGGCATTAAAATGTGGGCCCCTCTGAGGGCCAGGCTCCAGGGCTCCCGCCATGCAAAGAGCTCCCTCAAAACAGGAACCATCACAAAGACTTCCTCAGCTTTGGCTGCTCCCACTTGTTCCTCCGCCTTTAGCAAGTGCCGTCGCCCCATTGGCCCTTTGCACCCTCGCCCAAAGCTCACATTAGTTCTCTGGGAGACTTAACTCCAAACAGGGACATTTTCTGAGTTTCATACAGGTTGGGCAGACATGGATACTGAGGAACGGGAAAAATACGTGAGCAAGAAAGGCTGTCATAACTAATCCTAACTGGACCATTTTACTATATGTTTGAGTTTTCATTTTAAGCGGAAATGGCAGAGCATCTCAACTACTACTTGTAACATGTAAACATGGAGCCTTGGTGATGTTTTCAGGATGTTGCCATTTATCATCACCAGCCTCCCCCTAGCTCGGCTGGGTTAGAAGTGAAGAAACAGATCTAGGTAAGAAAAGGAACTGCCTATTAGTGCCCAGACTTGGACAGAGACTCAGGCCGTGAACTCCAGGCGAAACCAAAGCCCTGGAGGATTTTTCACAAAACCAATGGTTCCCAAACTTAGCGGGGGCTCAGATTCAGAAGATAAAGAGAAGCTTCAGCATCTAGCTTTTTGCAAAGCTTTTCAGGAGCTCCTCGAGTCAGCCCAGAACTATTACTCAGACAAGTGTCTGGGGCCCCAGGGCAGCGATACCTTGATGTAGTACCGGATGAGGATCCTTCGGAGGTCAAACACCTGCAGCATGGTGGCTGCATTGTTGTCTATGATGCTGTAGCCCTCCAGGATGTACTGTGTCCGGGTGATCTCCCAGGTGAGCCAGCGGAGGTGAAATGCAGCATTGCAGGACAAGAGGTGCGGCAGATGGCCCGGTTTGCAGCAACAACAGCCTCTGTCCTCCTCGTCACCTTCCATGATGGCCTCGACCTCCCTCTGCTGACAGTAGGTTCCTGGCAGAGGACAAACACGACGGAAGTTATACAATGAGTCATTGGGGCACCTCGGCTCAGAATGGACTTTTCCCTTTGCCTCTTCCGTTAGAGGGGAAGATGCTGAAGAACGTCTGGGAATCAGGAGAAGTGTTTAATTCTTTAATTCCCACATGAGTCACAATGCTCATCATTAATTCTTCTCTTCATTCGTATTCATTCTGACTGCCACCTCCTCCCCATTTTGTGTGTGTGTTAGAGGAGACAGACTTTCATGATGCTCATGGACACCAATGGTTGAAATGTGGAATGGTTATATCCCTGAGTTCCCTTTTCCAGAAACCTGCAGGTCGCAGCTAAGCACATGGGAGGCTAAATAAAAGTGGCAGGTGGAGATGTCTGAGAGTAAGTAGGTGCATGCTTAAGTGTTTTCAGGAAGGAAGCCTCCCTGCTTCTTTCCCTGGAAGAGCTCCATTGCCAAACGATCAGGGCATACCACCCATGCTACCCTGCCTCGCATGCCACCTCACCTCACGTGACTGAAGGCAGGATGTGGGGGGCCCTGAGTACATTTCCAAAGGAGTTCATTCCAAAAACAGGAGAAGATTATGGGTATTAACCATTTCTGAAATGAGACAGCCTATCTTCCTCAACCTCTTTGTCAATGATTTGAAGGGAAACATACAGAGTATGCCAACGACATGAGTTACTGGTACCACCTGCAGTGCAGAGTTGTGACCTAAAATTATCTCCACAGATGGGATGGTGGACTGAAAGTGATATCCTGAAAGTTAATAGGAATACATGGAATAGCCTGCATCTAGTTTCAAAAAAAACCAGCCACATGATTTATGAATATCTAGTAGCACATTTAACAAATACTTTAGTAGTTTCATTGATCGTATGTATGAGCCAGAAGTAGGAAAAGGAAAAGATCCTACTTGGAATAGGTTGAGGAGCCTTTGGATGTTTTTAGCTTAGGAGAAATGTAGTCTGATTTATGTTGCAGGAGGTTGTGCTGGCTGCTATTCAGAGAATGGACTGTAGAGGAATGAGGGGTGGGAGCCAGGGCAGGCATCGGTTACATAGGCTGATAGTTAACACAGATGAGACAGCGGTGATCTGGACAAAGGCCATTGGGGGAGGTACGGAGAAGTGATTAGATTCTGGATCTCTCGGTAGTCTGATAGGATTTGCAAACCAATTTGGATATGAGATGTTGAAAAGATGCACAAAGAATGGAGCAAGGTGAAAAGTGAAATTATCCTTCACAGAGAAGGGCAAGATCGTGGGGGGAGCAGCCTCTGGGTGGGCAGATGGAAAGATCAGGAATTTTCTTTTGCCTATGTGAAGTTTTAGCTGTTCACTATTAATCAAAATGGAGATGTCAAGCAGATGGTAGGATGAAGAAATTTGGAGTTCAGGACAAAGGCAGAGATTTATAACATTTGAGAGAATTATCCAGAGAGAGGGGCTATTTAAAATAATCTGGGGAGAGGAGGACAGGTCTGAGAGCTGAGCTCTGACTGTTCCATTCAGAGGTTGGGGATGTGAGGTGCTACCAACAAAATGATTGAATAGAAGTGGCTTGTGAGGTCAGAAGAAAACCAGAAAATAGCAAAAGCCAGTTAAAAAAGAAAATAAAGAATTTCAAGGAAGAGGGAACATTAGCTATGTTAAATGATGCTTATAGGTCAAATTACATGAGGAATTAACTATTAGATTTGACAATACAGAGGTGAAAGATAACCTTTGCAAGAGATTTCGGTGTCATGATGGGTGGGGGAAGGGATGCCCTCTTGGAGCAAGTTCAAGACTGTGGGAGAGAAAAAAGCAAGGAGAGTTAGTGTAGGCAACGCTTCTGAGGAGTTTAAAAATCTTTATGACTTCATTATATTTTTTACACATATGTTATAATGCTTGATATTGTCCCACAGATCACTGGGTCTCTGTTTTTTTTCTTTAAACTTTTAATCATTTGCATCAGTTTGAATAGTTTCTATTGTCTTGTCTTCAAGTCCACTGATCTTTTCTTCTCTCCTCTAAATGTTTCACCTCAGGCGTTGTATTTTATTCATTTTTAGAATTTCTCTTTTTCTCCTATTGATAGTCTCCATCAGGTCATTTATTATGATAATTTTTCCTCGGACTTCCTAAACATATTAATAACTGTTTGAAACTTCTTTTCTGTTACCTCCAACATCTTTGGCTGTGTTTCTGTTTATCGTTTTCTTTTCCTGGTTATGGGATCACTTTTTTTCGGCTTCTTTTCATACCTAGGAACTTTTATTATATGCTGTATATCGTTGATGCTATAGTGTTGACAGTCTGGTCTTTTTTTAGAGAGAGTTATGTTCTCTTAAGGGGTTCGTTTATTTGCACATCAGCTTGTCAGTTTGATCCTTTTGAAACTTGTTTTTAATCTTTGAGAGTGTCTAGAGTAGACCTCTAGGGTGAAGGTATCTCTATTCCTAAAGTCTTTCTGGGGTCTCGGTTGAATTCCTGGGATGTTCGACTACAAGGTAGTCTCCACTGGATGATTCTCGGCACTGTTAAGCCTCCGTATCCTCCACTTAGCTCACACCTCCCCCGTTACTATTCTCTGCCAGGACTCGCCTCTAACATTCAGCAGGTTAATCTTCATCCAATCACTAAAGAGGATCCCAGTACAGATTTTTGCCGTACCTTCTCTGTGAAATTCACTCCTATCTGCTACTACGACCCACAAAGTCCAGCTATATTAGCGATCCAGAACTCTGATTCTCTCTCCGTAGCTCAGCAAAACAACTGTATTCTGTTTGGATGCTGCCTCCCGCTACTACAGATAGGAAACGGCCTCCAGGAAGAGAACAAGGGTAATTATTATGGAGCTTACTTTGTGTGTCTCCTTTCTCTCAATAATCAGAGACTTGCACTGTCTGTTCAATACCTGAAAGTGGTTGATGAATATATTTTTCCCAGTTTTAAAATTGTTTATGGCAGGAAGGATAGTCCAGTACTGGTTACTCAGTCATGGCTGAAAGGGTGACTCTCTGAATCCTTCTACATGTCTTTTGAGACTTAATTCAAACATGAAAACTGTCCCTACATTCATTTCCATACCATTCACTTTTTCCAAGATCCCATATCATTATTCAGAGTGCCTGGTACATAGTGGGTGCTAACAAAGTGGTTGGTGGGATGCCTGAATGAATGACTGAATGAATAAATAAAAGAAAGGTGTTAATCCAGATCACTGTATGCACAGGCAACAGATACCTATTGAGAAAATGCACAGCAGATTACATTATGCATGTGGCAGATAAAGTCAGTGTTGGTACTAAGCTTCTCTTATAGTACAAATGAATGGGTCAGAGATGGAAAACTACAATCTTCAAATAGTAAGGTACACACAGAACTGTTAAGATAACAGGCAATGTAATAGGAGTTGACCAGGAAGGGGTTGTTTAACATAAAAGTATAACGGTGAAGGGCTGATCCCAGATCTTGTGATTCCATTTGCCTTTCCCCAAAACTTCACTGCTTTGGGTCTTAGGTGAAAGCAGTCTTTTTAAAAACATTTCAAGGGTCTCTTAGCTCATTCTGCAATATAAAACCACAGAGATACATATAAGTACCTACATGAACTATAAGCAGTGAGTAATTCAGACCGCATGCTCTGGGGCTTCCAGACTGAGCAATGACCCCAGTGTCCTAACCGATCTGCCCACTGGGACCCTAGGACGGCAGGCACTAGACTCCGGGCATGGGAGATGTTCCATCCCACCAAATGGCACACTAACCACACTGGTGTTCTTCCAGTAAATAATATGATTCAGCAAGAAACTCTCTTTCAATGAAGAAGTGAGGCAGGTCTTAGGCTACATAAGGAAGAAGCAGAGAGGAGGATTTTCACCTCAAATAGATGAACAAATCTGGTTAAATGACATGTCTCAAAAATCCACATTTCTTTCCAATTTCTCTCTCCATACTTCTCCATCCAGGCATTTATCATGTGGGGCTGAATGTCAGGGTTGTTTTTTTTTTCCCTCTTACATTAAACAAACTGGAAGGTGTGTGTGTGTGCACATGCGCACCATACAGTGGAGAGTTTAGATTTCCACCACGTGAATGAGATAAGTAAAACCACACACCATGAGGAACGACATTGACAAAAGGACAGGTGAGGACGCAGTGCGCCATGAAGGACCGCCACTCGACAGAAACATCATAACTGCTGCAGGCTTTTAATAAACACTCAGTTAAGGTAGGTCTCAGCACCTTCTCTTAGGAACAAAAGCTGCAGGGTCAGGATCACATTGTAAAAGAAGATGAAAATAAAAAACTCAGTCATTTCTGGACATGCACTAATTTGTTGCTCAAATGCAAGTTGAGACCACAGTCTTCTCGGGGAGGCTCACAGGGTTTAGAGCACATTCCCTCCAAAGGGAACACCGGAGGCCAAGTGTCCCCACACTGTGATTTCTCACACCATCGGTGTCAATGAATGACGAGCGGGCTAGCTGTTTCTGTCTGGTGTTTCCATCGAAACCGACTCTTGGCATTTTTTGTGTTGTGGTGTTCTCATGGTTTAAGTCAGCGGGACATAGGAAGGCATTCAGTAAATAATTTTTGAATTATGTTGAGAGCGTCTTAGGGTCTTAGTTCTGATAGATGAGAATGCCTAATTAAAGCAGTAGGAATTAGTGTTTGGAACTGAAAATGTACCTAGTAGATCCCAGATGTCTTGCCACAGAGGACACGCATCCATTTCCTGAGTGTGGCCACCATGTGGGGCAGCCATTCCTGGCATACCTGGCAGCCCTCCTGACCTCTGACCCTTTCTTCCTCTCTTCGCCGGTTCCCCAAACAGCAAGTACTGCTCCCCTTTAAGTGCAGTTTGGTGTATCTACCAGCGACAGGCCAGGCCTGGCTTATTTATTCACACTTATTTCCCAAAAGGAATGAAGTCAATTTAAAAAGGCATGCACAGTACAACGACAAATGATAAAATTTAGGTAAAAATGGGGATAAGAAAAAAT